CCCCAAGCAGAACCTCAGCAGCCGAAGACCTCCAGAACCCAGCCATAGCCATGCTCAAGGCCACTATCCACACACCCAGACAAGCCTCACGCATGAAAGAACAAACAGAGGAACCCAGATGTGCGGGACCTGAGTCAGAGATTTCCAAGTAAGCCTGCTTAGATCGGGACTGGGCCTCCTCCACTCACAGCCCCCATTTTCCAGTAGCTTAGCAGTCACACCAACAAACTGCATTCCACCCTCTCCCGGCACCATGTAATTCCATCATCAACGGCCAAGATCCGGAGATTATAAAACAAAGCAGAGCTGGGAAAGCTACCCATGGCATATCCGATATGCCAAAAACAGTAACAATAATGGGTCTCATTCCTCTGACCCTGACAAAGCCTCCAATATGGCAGTGCTGGGAAGGTCAAGTAAGGAGATACTGCTAAAATCTCATGGCTGGGATGAATGGAGACATTACTGGAGCCTGCTGGAGTAAATAAATGAACAATGGTATGGCAGTGATACAGTGATACACACAAACATACACACACACACACACACTTAATGAATGCTGATCTAAAACTTCCAGCTCGGGGTCTTCAATGTAAAATCAACTATATATGCTCTATGTTAGATAATCTTGTTACAAATGTTTCTTCTATATAATAGTAAAAGAAAAAGCAACAAGATTAAGATTGGTTTATACATCTGCTTCTCTACTGATCAAATTTTATCAATAAAGATTTATATAATTATAATCATATATCATGTAAACTAGGCATTTACTATACGGAATGAAAAGTTTTGAAAGGAATTGCACTGAATAGCATTAGATTATAGACTTTTTCATAATGAAGTTTAACAAATCCAAGAGTGAAAGAAACAAATTCATAAACTACCTCAGTCCATGTGCATTTTTAAATAATATGCAATAAAGCCAAATCTACCGGCCCAAATATTATGCCCAATAACTCAATGAAGCACTACAGAAGTTAAATTAAATGGATTGATGTACAGATGCTCTTTTTGTTAACTTTGTTATTCACTAACAGTTTTAATCAGTAAATTTGTAGGAGAATGAATTTTCAATGAGTATACTATTTCCCTGATGTGAATGAAAAAGAGTAATGTTTACTTAACCCATACAATATTTTTATTTAAAACACTTTAAATATTTATGAATCTTTAATAAAACTTGTTTTATTAAAATGTGGCACTATTTTTATGAAATATATATCCTTATAAATATTATTTGAAAAATGAAAGTTTTGAGAAGTTTCTCTAATTTCGAAGGATTTTCTAATACTAAAAATGATTAGCGGCAATATTTAACTAAATGGATTACCCATCTGGGATAGGAAGCAAAGGGATATATTGTGACTTGGAGACACATTAATTAATATTGGACTCACATAGAAATAGTTATCCTTGAGCTTGGCCCGGTACAGGAATTTACTTGAGGGTCAGTAATGAAGACAGGATAATTCTATTTAATAGTTCCTGCTGCTGACTGAGTTGGCACAATGATTTATTTCTCACTAATAAAAATGAGCTATTTCTATTAGATAATAATCCCATATCTAGGAATTTATTAATTCAGGAGGTTGAGGGCAGTCAAAAATCTGTAATCTGACTATATGACAATGAAGCCTCTTTAATTGGTAAAGTATGAATCTGGAATAAACAATAGGAAATAGAGCACTAAATCTTCAATTATTCCCAGCACATCACTCCTACATATATTTGGTGGTCCAAGCAAGATTTATGAGCATTCATAACTTTATTGTATTTGAATTATTAGTTTTACTCTGTTGGCCAGTAGTAGTTGGTTCTATTTTTTAAATATATATTTCATTTTCATAAAAGTAGTTCACAGTAGTTCATTACAGATAATATTCAAATACCAGTCCCACCACCGAGCACCTTGCCACCACAGTAAGAGTTAAGTGTGTGAGGATTGCTGTATTTCATTCTGGAGCCCTTTAAGCCCAAATATGAGAATACAAGCAAATATGTCAGAAACCAAACAAATGTGTGGTACTTTTGATAAATAAATGAGGTAGAGTATAAAAGGTGGTGCAGCAGAAAATATGGCCACACACTGAGAAAATTCTGTGGCGCTCTCATCCAGGAGCTTTAGTTTATAGTCTATGAGTTTTGGCCGTTGAGGGGATTACATGGTGCCGGGGGTGGTTTGTGGTTGTGATTGCCAAGCTACTGGAAAACTGGGGATCTGGGAGGAGGAGCTCCATTTCCTGATCCAAGTGGGCTTGGAGATCAGAATCATGGGTTCCCGTGTATTTGGGTTTTCTGGCAGTCCGCTCTCCAGTGAGGTTCAACCCTCTTGAGTGAGGCTCATCCTGTCTCGGGTGAGGTCATCCAAGCATGTGGAGAGTGGCCTTGAGCATGGCGGCGGTTGGGTTCTGGAGATTTTTGGCTGCTGGGGTTTTAAAGAGAGACAATAAGGTTGGCACTTGGGGCTCACTGACAGAGATTTTGAGGGATCTATGCTGTTTGAGGGATTTTACCCAGGCTTTCCACGTGCAGAGCATGCACTTTAGCCTTTTGAGCTAGTTCCCTGGTTCCAATCATGCCTAATTTTATAAGACAGGTGGTGAGTGAGGTTCCACTTATCTTCCTGGATGTAGAGCAGAACCAGAAATCATTATTTGTTTTGTTTTTTCTTGAAGCAAATTAGGTTAACTTAAATAAATTTACTTGAGAAGTGTGGGAAGAGAGAAAGCGAGAAATATGTGTACAAGGGAGAGCATAAAAATTAACTTCTAAACACTTATTGATGTGACTTTTTGATGATTGATATGTTTTCAACTTTTATTAATATAATAGGGGACAACAGTATATACCATTTTGGAGTTCCATATTCAGAGTCACATGTGGGATGTTTTTCCTGTCCTTTAAAGTAGTTCTTTAACTCTTTACACTCCTTGCAAAACTAATTTAAAGGTTACCAGTGCCATAAGTTCTTGTCTGTCAATGAAGGTCTGTATTATTCTTTCAAATATAAATTAAAAACAATCTGGTTAGAATATTCTTTATGAAATATTCTTTTTGGTGAGTTTTTGATCTATATCCTTCCATACTCTTCCGACTTGCAGAGCTTCACTTGATGAATCTACTATATATCTCATGAGCTTTCATTTGTATTAAGTTCCTTTTTTGATACTGCTTCTTTCACTATTCTTTCTCTATCTTTGGATTTTGTCATTTTGATTATTAGTTGGTGGTGACTTACATATATCATGAAAGAACTATGAAGGTAATTTATTTTAGTGGAAAATTCATCTCTCCACCTACCAAACCCCCACATCCACCCGTTAAAAGAAAAAAGGAAAAAAAAGACCCTCACTGTACCTTGGAGTTTTCCTAGTTTTCTAGTTTGGTCTACTTTTGCTGGGATCCATGAGTCCTCTTAATCTCAGTGCATGTATTCCTCAACTCTGAGAAATCCTTATCAATGATTTCTTTAACTATTGTTTCCTCATCACATATGCCTTGTTGTTCTCTTGAACTCATACCTAGTTCTCTGGTATGCTGTTCATTTCTTTTTTTTTTTGTCTGGAGCGATAGCACAGTGGTAGGGCGTTTGCCTTGCATGCAGCCAACATGGCCGACCCGAGTTTGATTCCTTCGCCCCTCTTGGAGAGCCCGGCAAGCTACCGAGAGTATCTTGCCCGCACGGCAGAGCCTGGCAAGCTCCCCCTGATGTATTCGATATGCCAGACACAGTAACAACAAAGTCTCCAATGGAGATGTTACTGGGCCCGCTCGAGCAAATCAATGAACAACGGGAGGGCCTTTACCTTTACCTTTACCTTTTCTTTTTTTTAATTTTCTTTTTGGGTCACACCCACAGTTGCACAGGGGTTACTCCTGGCTCATGCACTCAGGAATTATTCTTGACGGTGCTCCAGGAACCATATGGGATGCTGAAAAACGAACCCGAGTCAGCCGTACACAAGGCTCTACCTGATATGCTATCGCTCCAGCCCCTGCTGTTCATTTCTTTACAGATTATTTTGCAACATTTGCTCTTTCCTAGTGGTTTCCTGCTTCTCTTATCCTTGATCTTTTTCTCAGCTTCTGTTATTCTACCGTTCAGAACTTCCATTGAAATTTTTATATTATACCCACCATTGTTTTCATTCCTGTCGCTTCTAATTGCAGTTGTTTTCTCATTTTGACCCTTATATTATCTTGTGCTTTGCTGACTGCCCGTGCCTACCTTGCTTGGAGCTCACTGATTTTCTTCATCATAGTGGACTCTAAAGACATTGAGGATTTACCGAATTGGTTGTTGTTTTTGTCATAAGTTTTGCTCATTGAACTTGGAAGACTTCTGCATTTTTCTCCCATTGGTTTTCAAGTGTCCATATTATGTTGTAGTGATATCCCCTTTCTATGCTGTAATTATATCCGCTGGAAGATCCTGAGGGATTAAGCTGAGGCTTGCTTTCTTCTATGCCCATCCTCAACTAAAGACAGGAAGTGTAACTGTGAGCAGTGTGTAATTTGTTATCGGTCATGCAGCCACATGATTCAGAAACTGTGGTGTGGGCACTTGATATGGCATTGGTTGTGTGTGGAGGCTTCTGGTACCCACATGGTACAGGTGGGCTCTGCCTCCATTTCTGCTGTGGGTTGTGTGATCCCAGCAACACCTGCAGTGGTGAAACAGCAGGCAGAAGGTTCACTAGAATAATTTTATGTCTTCATGATTTTCATGATATTGGTGGATGAAATAGGTCCACAGAATGTGACATTTTGTAGGTAAACAACTTTTTTTTATGAACAGTGAGTATCTTGCTGCATGTGTCAAATGTATGAAATAGAGCTTTAATTGGTGGTAACTTACATTTATTGTGCAAAAATTACGAAGGCAATTTCTTCTTACCATATATCACCTCTGACTCCAATAATATTCTTTTAGTCACATATTGTTGGCTATTCATAATTTATATTATACTTACTGTTGTTATTATTATTATTTTTAATTAAGGTGCACCATTCCTGAAGGTACTGCAATACCAGATTGATGCATGGAATGGGTGGAGCAAGTTCCTATTCCAACTCTGTGCTCCCCAAATTCTTTTAATATATTGTTCTTGATAGAGAACATGTCAGATACTAAATGGGTAAGAACAGATACGACACTTGATCTTTGTCAAAGGCCAAGAAATGATTATATTTATTATTAGTAACACCATGTTTTATCAGATAGGAAACATGCAGCCATTTTACATTGAAATCGCCACTTAATATCAGTCATATGCCATTCCCTTTTGTAATAAATTGAAATTTTAAGAACTTAAATCATTGGCTCAGCTTCCTAAAGATAGAAAATGACAAAGCTTCAATTTGAGGTGAATTTCATCCAGATTCAAATAAAATGTCAAACTTAATTATGAATGAAGTAAGACAACAACTCAATGTTGTACATACATACACACACGTTCTGTGCACAATGACTTGTTCTTTAGAAAGCATCATTTTTGGAAAATAGATTGTCAATGCAATCTAAATTCTTTATTTTTATTTTTTCATTTACTATTTGTTAACAGTTTTGGTCCTAGTAGCCATTCTGAATTATTATTGAAGTTTTTCACTTATATGTATCATTAGTATTTATTATATGCTTTAAAATAGATTATTTAAATTACTTATTAAACAAACTCATCAATATAAACAGACAGGTTTTTATAAAACATAATCATATTTATAAAGTGTAAACTGCATTTAGTACAGTGGGTAGGGCATCTGCCTTGCACCCAGCCCATCCAGATTCGATTCCTCCACTCCTCTCAGAGATCCCGGCAAGCTACCGAGAGTGTTTTGCCCACACAGCAAAGCCTGGCAAGCTACCTGTGGCGTATTCAATATACCAAAAACAGTAACAACAAATTACACAATTTGTTGTGAGACATTACTGCTCCTGCTCGAGCAAATCGATGAACAACGGGAGGACAGTGCTACAGTGCTAAACTGTATTTACATTTTTATAAATCCTAATTTATATATTACTAAAAACAATTGATACTCATTTTTGCATCTTTGTTTATTTCCATAATATACAAATTTAATTCAGCTATATCAAATTAGTCTTAGTATATGACATTTTGGAAAATGTATTACTATGAAGAATATAAAAAGTTTAGTAAGAAGTGGTTTGCAATGGAGAAAGACGAATATAAGAGAAGGATTTTCCAGAATAAGAGTACTATTCTGAATGATACTATAATGATGTACATATCTGAAAACCATGGATAGTAGAACAAAATATGTAATATTATGTAAAAAAGGGACTTTTGATAATAATTATATATATATATATATCATTATTTGTCACTGCCACTGTCCTCCCGTTGTTCATCGATTTGCTCGAGAGGGGCCAGTAACTTTGTAAGACTTGTTACTGTGTTTGGCATATCCAATAGAATACATCATGGATAGCTTGCCAGGCTTTGCTGTGTGGGCGAGATACTCTTGATAGCTTGCCGGGCTCTCTGAGAGGGGCAGAGGAATCGAACCCACGTTGGCTGCATGCAAGGTAAGTGCCCTACCCACTGTGCTATTGCTCCAGCCCCACCATTCCTTTTTCTTTCCTCTTCTATGCTTTTCCTTTCTCTTCTTTGCTTTTTCTTTTTTGACCTCATTATCAGTGCTGGCTTATATTTTGTCTTTAATTCATCTCTGTGGTTCTCCCCCTGTATGACTCTGTTTCTTTTACTTGGTAATATGTTCTCTAGTTCCTTTCCACTTTATTTACATGGAAACTTTCATCCTCTAAAATAGCTCTTCTCTGACTTGGTTGAATTGATTAACTGCACTAGCAAATGCTTGATTAATTTCTGTTGCCAGTGCAGCAGTGTTGATTTCAGGTCCTCATTCACCAGCCTCAAGAGTTTCCATGGACTTGGGGTCTGCCTAGATTTCTGTCCTTATCAGCAACTGCAGATGAATTCCTTTGTTTCCTCATTGTTCTTCATGTTTTGCGGGTGTTTGTATTCCCAGTTACTTGAGAACTAATCTGTTCAGTTATTTACACCAGAAGGCTATTAATAATACATCTCCTTTTGGATTATTTTCCTTTACCAGGCAGTGGTATTTGAGCATGACCAAGGGGTTGTCAATTAGTTACTTCAGTAGTTAACTATATACTGTTAAGTATATAGTTAAGGCTATATACTGTCTGAAAAATAGGGACCTAGCACTTCAATTTTTCTCCTTTCTGGAACTACTTACTGATCCAGGGGGGGCACAACACTCCTTGCCTATGACTTCTCATTTACCTGGATACTACAAACAACATGTTTGGCAAAAAGTGAAAAACTAAGAATGATTTTTTTGTGTGTTTCAGATGGCGAACTCTCAAACATTTCCAGATGGCACACCCTTGGAATCTCTAGTGAAAAAGTTTAATCCACAATTTCTGAATAAAGAATGGCTCATCCATTTCTGCTCTAAGGTCTGGCCACAACATGATTTGAAAAGTCAAATACGTAGCCAACACAAACCTAATATATAGTAGTGCCATGGAGTAAGAACAGTTTAACAGAAGGAGAGGCAGAGATGTAGAGATGCCTTATGTCCAATTATTGTTTGCCCTGTGAGAGAAACTAGATCCCTGCCGAAATTGCAAGCTGTTCCCTGCTTGACTAGATAGTGCTCTAAGAGAGGAATCAGGGACAATCTGAATACTCTGCCCCAAAAGCAGGGTGGGATGGAGGGGATGGAGTGTTGGAGGGATACTGGGATAAGTGGTGGTGGAGAATGGGCACTGGTGGAGAGATGGGTACTCGATCATTGTATAACTGAAACCCAGGCACAAAAATTTGTAAGTCTACAGCTGTACCTCACGTTGTTTCACTAGTAAAAATTAAAAAAAAAATTGTAACAACAAATAAATAAAAGTCATCATATCCCTTTAGTACCACAAGCCCCATCTCTATCCGCTCCTTACCAAGGCCCATAGATACCAGTAAGACAAGTCCTATGTGCTCATTCTGGATGCACCCCATAAGCTTTGAAGATATCTATAATCCATGTTTCCTTCTCAGTGAGTGATATAAAACAGATAAAATTGTTCCTGGCAAAAGTTGGGGATGATTATGATAAATATATCACAGGCTTCCAGAGTCTAGAAGAGACATTCCATATGATTTGGAAAGATATAATGCTCATTTTAGTTCAAATCCAAATGATCACTTGACTTCCCGTTCATCATCAATTTGCTCGAGTGGGCACCAGTAACATCTCCATTTGTCCCTGTCGTGTGCTAGTGTAGCCCAATGGCGTCTGTTCATTCTAGGAACATAAAAGCCTCAAACTGATCATTCAGGATCTTAACGAAGAAGTCTGACCATCTTGTAGGTGGGAAGCCACGTGGTCTTTTAACGTCCCATGGAATCCAGTCATTATGGCTCTAGTCCAGCTGTCATCTCCAAATCTCATGTCCAGACCATCTGATTTTTGATGCCTTGGCAAACGAGACAGCGTCCCTGATTCTTGACTGTCGAAGGAGGTCAGAACTACAGATTCTTTCTCAAAGCTTGAGCGAAGCAGGTTACTCCAAGCATAGCTCTTTTGATTCCTCTTTGGGAGACCCGAATAGCATTCTCATCCTGTTTTCGTAGAGCCCAGGTCTCTGAGGCATATATTAATGCAGGAAGAACAGTGGAATCGAAGAGATGTGCCCAGAGCCGGAGGTTCTTCATCCTCTTAGCTATTTCTTCGATGCTCTTGAAGGCGTTACAAGCTGCTCTCTTCCTCCTGCACAACTCAGGTGCTGGGTAATTCATCATGTTGACTTCTTGACCTAGGTACACATAACTGTTGCATTCGGAGATGGTCATTCCATTGAGAGCGAACAGAGCATCAGGAACGAGGCTGTTTCTCATAAACATCTTCGTGAGATTCAGCTGCAGTCTGACATTTCCACACTCAGGGTAGAAGTTGGCCAGCATTTGTGCCACTTGGCTAATGTTTGGTGTTATTAGAATGATGTCATCAGCAAAGCGAAGGCGGTGTAGTTGCCGACCATCAATCTTAACTCCCATTCCTTCCCATTCCAGTCATCACATGATGTTCTCGAGGGTGGCACAGAAGAGTTTTGGTGGAATGGTATCACCCTTATGAACCCCTCTCTTGACATCGATGATCACTTCTTTGTAGAATGGTGAAATCCTGGTAGTGAATCAGTAATAGAGCTCATGGAGGATCCTGATGTATTGAGTTTGAATGACCGGATTGGCTATGGCTTCAATGACTGCTTCTGTCTCAACAGAATCAAAGGCCTTCTTTAAATCCATGAACGTTAGACAGAGTGGCATCTTGATCTCCCGAGAAACCTCAATGAGCTTGGTTATCGTGTGGATATGGTCGATGGTGCTGAATCCTTTTTGGAACCCGTCTTGCTGAAATGGTTGTCCTTCATCTAGTGTTCTGCCAATCTAATTCAGGATGGCTCGAGTGAACAGCTTGTAGATGATGGACAATTGGAAGATCAGGTGATAGTTTTCAATGTCATGGATGTCTCCCTTCTTGTACAGTAGTACAGTCCTGCTGGATTTCCATTCATACAGAAACTTGCATTCAGACAGGTAGTGTGTGAAGAGCTTAGCCAGCGTATTGATGAGTACTGCCAGCAGGTTCTTCAGGTGTTCAGGTCTGACCTTGTCTGGGCCGGGTGCTGTTTGTTTCTTTACCGACAAAATGGCGTGTCAGATTTCAGAAGAAAGAACATTGGGAACAACATATCCATCCTGCGGAATGTAGTATGTCAGCAGGTGGACATGGCTATCGAAGATATCTGAGTAGAAGTCATGGGTAATCTTCTCCATTGCCCTTCTGGAAGGTGTGATCGATCTATCAGGATGTTGGAGGGCAGTTGTCTTGGTCTTGTAGTTGGCGAAGGACAGGCGGGTGTTACGAATGCTTTTCCCAGCTTCTGCCACTTCTACCAGCACTTCTGCTCTTCTCTCTTTGAGGTCTTTCTTTATCGCATCTCTGTACTGCTTTGAGAGCTCGGACATTTGCTTGTGGTTGCCTGAGGCATGCGCCAAACCACGTTGGCAAATAAGTTCAAGAGTTTTCAATGACAGGCATTTTTTTGTGGCTATCTCTCTCTTGGCGTTCCTCCCACAATCGTGGAGGTGCTGAACCAGTCGATCATATTCCTTGTCAA